AAAAACCCAATCGCTTTGTCAGGCGAAGATAAAAGAGGGATAATCGTCCTGCGGCGGTGGATGACATCATTTGCTCACGTTCTCCTTCATTCACACCCTCCCTCTTTGCGTTAACGATGAGACCCGCGCTCGTTCAATCCCTGAACAATCGATGGTGCACGTAATGAAGTTTTTTCTTTCGCTTTTTCCTCGATAATATTATTTTCCTCGAAAAACGAACAAAATTCGCAATTTTACGCTGCCGTGGCAACGCAACGATTCGATTTGCAAGCACGTGTTCGTCGAGGATAGGTACCTGCCAATTATCGCACCTGCCATCAGCTCGTACATATTCATTGTGGACACATCCGATTATCGATCGATGGGACATAGGTCCCTATGGTCGTCCAATGCGTCACCCAGCGCACCATATCCGGATGTCCCCAATGACCCTTAGCGTTGATGGTGTTTATACCGTTGGTGTAAAGAATTTTTCTATGAAAGAATTATAGGGCTTCTCTGAACTATATATACTCTGGAAATAGAGGTTCGCATTAATTGAAACTCTGGCTGGAAAAACAAGTCGAAATTCTCTGGTTAGAATCTATTATAATTCTAGGTGAGATAAATGCAGAACTTTTCTATGAAAGAATTAAGTATAGCCTCTTTGAGCTACGCTAGAAAGAGTTTGCATTAATTGGAATTCTAGTTAAGGACAAATTAGAATTTCCTGATAGAATCTATTATTCTAATTGAGATAAAACGGAATTTTGATTGATATGATTAAAATTTTCTGCTTCATTTTTAACCATAATTTTTTTCTCAGTGTAGAGATATTGTAGAGATTAATGTCGAATCTAGGATCAACAAGTTTTCTTTCAGTCTTAAGTTTCAGAGATGCTTGTGATAGCAAAACTAGAACATAGTCTTACAGAAGTGATCTGTCCCCTCCCCCTTGATTTATATATTGGTTTTCAAATTGAAAGAAATTTTATCATTTCAATGAGTTTTCTTCGTGATGAAACACGATATTGTTGGAGGATAAATACCATCAGTAGGGATAAGTAGCGGGTATAAGTCGAAAAACGAAGTGATGGAAAATTAATATCCTTTTTCCCCTCCTCCCCCCCCCCTCCTCCTCCTCCATCCAGATGGTGAGCGAACGTTTCTGCGGTGTAATAAAGTCACTAGAGCGCGAATTCAAGAGAATGAAAGAGAAGACGAGAGGTGAGCGTGCTAGGTGAGCGGCAAACGGGGTAAGGGGAGAAATGAAATGAGAGAGAGAGAGAGGGGTTGGAGGGGATGATGGCGAGGCGGAGAACGAAAGAGCGACGGATGAGAGGGAGGACTACGCAGGCGTCGATAGGCTGCATAGCGCGTAGGTCAACGTACTTTCTACCAGGGCCGCACAATATATTGCCGCATTGGTTGGTACATTCCCTGATTCGGCGAATCTGCAATCGTAAAATTTCCATATGCTACGCGCGATGTTACGAGATCTCCACCCTCCTAAATCATTATCCGAGAATGACTGATGCAATCAGGATGATCAAAATTCGACCAAATCGAGATGTTGCAAATTCTGCGGGATATTCCAATTTTTAATCTCTCTATAGAGATCCTAAAAGAAAGAAACCCTAGGAGGAATGACATTTGTCACCTGATTTATCACAATAATCTAAATGAACATAAAATTTGTTAGCATATTAATGCCTGTTTCTATTAATGTAGTTTAATTTTAATCTTGGTTTTAGCTACAACTCATCTTTTTTCAATTTTAAGAATTAAAAAAAGATGAAGAGTAAGATAAATCGAAATTTAAAGCTGATCTACATTTGGTAGAAACGGGCATAAGGATTTCTTTCGCCAATCTTTGGTTAAGCTAACCGAGAAACTGTGTTGATCTCCTAATTTTTGAAAAAAATTTCTATAGCTCATTCGATTGCTCATCGTTTGCATGTATAAGTACATGTAATTTTCGTTTGCATACTTCTGATGGAAAAGTTATTAAAAAACAATTTTATAGGGTGCTAATTTCACACTAACCCTCCAACTACGAGGAAAATAGATTTAACTCAATCGATAGATTTTCGTTTGCACATTCCGAAACAAGTCGATTTCTCATTTGCACACACCACACCATCTTTAGTTAAATTACTAACAATTAAAGTTAGATCAACTAAAGACAGTCGATTCAGGTAGACAGATTCAATTCGCAGTTATTATACTCAAAATGGCATGAATCGATAGATTTATTAGTAATTGTAGAATTTTAATTCTTGGAAGTTCTGCAGATTGTTTTGAAGGTTCGAAAGTTCAATGCTTTCGAACTTTTATGAAGATTTTAATGCAGAAACTTTGAAGTTTGAATATCGAAGCCTTTTCGAAACAGTAAAAAATATGTTTTGAATAGTTTAAAACATGTTTAATCAATGTTTTTAACATGTTTTTAACATGTTTTTAAATATGTTCGTAATAAGACTAAAGCATGTTTGAAGCATTAAAAACATGTTTAAAAAGAAATACAATGTTTTATTCTTTAAAAAAAGAAAACATTAATTTTTGTTAACCCTGCTTTGAAGTAAATCAGCAGCCCTTTTGACTGACGTTCGAATACATGCGATATCTGGATTTTGATATTTTGATAACCTTTGATATTCTATGTATGAAAAGCGTACGTGTGTGAAAGGACCTTGCATACAAATTTGAAAATACAAAAAGAAAAAGAAAGACGTGTCCGAACTTAATTTCAAAATGAAAAAAGAAATGGTTGGTATCAGTCTATGATTAATGCATTGTAGAATTTGTCTTCTCTTTTCTTAAACTTAAAGGAAACAGTTTGAAGCTTTCTTTTTAAATTTGCACTCAGAGAAAAACACAGTGATGATAATTGTAAAGGTAATAACAAGTTTTATATGCAGCTAACTATAAAACAGTTTGCTCAATTGCACATTAATTCTACATACAAAACTGGTTATATTTGTCGTCAAACTTTATAATTGTTATTACTATTTCGTCAAATGTGAAATAAAATTGCTATTTGAGAAAGGCATGTTCCAAAAAAGAATTTAGTACGACGCATTAAGCCGGATCCAGACTAAGCAAACAAACGCGAATCAATAGCTTACTTCAATGAATGTGAAAGGTGCCAGGAATATCAACAACGCAGTTTGAACTCATTGATGCAACTTGTTCATTTGTGTTTCATCCGCGCGCTCGTTTGCTTAATCTGAATCTGACTATATATGCCTAGTAGTTTGAGTATTTCCCTGGATTTTCTGTCTCTTAGAAAAAATATAACAGTAAAAAAAGTTAATGAAAAATACGATATATAATTTATATTCATGACAGTTTTTTCATATAAAATACGTCTTTGTAGCAGCAACAGCAATATAAAGAAGTGTCCTGTAATCTAGAGTTACGGAACATTCAAATTTATGAATATCCATGCGTGTGAGAAACAGGAAGTGGTTGAATTGTCACTTGAAGAAGTAAATGCAGTACTCGGTAAAAGTACCGTAAAAATCTGCATGACATGAGACATTTATTCAAGAGATATTATAAAATCCATTGATCCGGCAAAAGATAATGGATCGTGTTACATTCAGTTTATAATAAAGATGAAAAATGTGACAATAATAATTCTGCAAATTGTCTTTGCAGTGATCCCGAGGAATTATGCAATTACATAAATTTGTGTTTTGTAGGAAACAATATCGCAATGCTGAATGACGAAGGTCTTCAACGCGATCGCGTGATCTTCAAGCGCGATTTATTCACGAGCCATTGACTTCACAGACTATAAACCGTACTTTTATTACCATGACTCACGCCAATAAACTAATTGTCTATGGAACAGCGCAATATAAAAAATATTTCTACACTGAAAAAAATCTGATAATAGCTATCAAATATGTTGAGTGAAATAATTCCAATAAAATGTTCGGTTAATATAACACATAGTAAAAAATATTTTGTATTTGTGTTGAAAACGGTCCGCTCACATATTTGTTAAAATTTTATGTTGAACATTCGATTATTAATTTAACATAATGTGATTATGTTATTTAAAGATTTTGTGTTAAATTAATATTCAACATTTTTTAGTGTCAAAATGACAAGTGGACAAACATAAAAATGATATTCAAAATATAAATTCTAAGATGAATGAATAAAGTATATTAATTTAGCATATCATAAATATGAATTTTATTGAAAAAAATATACTTCCACAGTTTATCTACAAACTGTGTCAGTATCACCTTTTTTGTACTTATCTTCTTAAATGATATTTCTGTTATCTTCTAATATATTCATCTTGTATTAAATAAACATATAAATTTAAGGACCGTTTGGAACACGTGAGATGTGTTCAATGTAACAAATTTGTGGTTATATGAATCGAATATTTGGAAATTATTTCACTCAACATTTAATAGCTGCTTATACTAGTTATACTATTACTCTTTTTTCAGCGTTAAATTTTTGCCCTCTTCCGCATCAAGTCTTTTACTTCGGAATGTTTCTGCGAAATTTCGTAGAAGGCTTAACAATGAGACCACGCAACGGTTTCCAATTTATGCTTGACGATATAATAGTAATTAATCCATAACTGGAACCAGCCATATGAGCTTTGGTGACCTTAAGATTTTTTTTTAATAATCACGATTTGTAATAATTTCATGTTTTACAATTTGTCACAATTTTAAACTTAAAGAATTCTTAAAAAGAAACTAACAACAAAAACTTCAATATCTCTTAAAAACCCATATATTCCTTTATCATCGAAAAGTATATTTTTGGGGGAGGGAGGAGGGGAGGGGGGAGGTTAATGCTCAATTTCTTCATCTCTAGATAACTTTATCCAAGAGATATCTCTCAGAGTACAATGGAGATATCTCCTGGATCAGGTTATTCGCAACTTATCTGAAAGTGAAGAAATTGGGCATAAGATGTAATCATAATCGATGCCAAAGTACAACCGTAAGAAAATTCTAACGAACGCTATTTTGTATTTTCAGGCGACCTGAAACAAGTGCATCAGGCTTTGCTGCAGAGTGCTAAGCGTGGGGGTTCTTTGGATAATATTACGGTAATTGTGGTGTTCCTGACGCCGCCGATCGAGATCGTTCGAATCGCTTCGCGCTCGAATCCGCTTCTGACGTATCAACCACCGAATGGTCTATTACTAAACAACATGGATCCGAATAATCCGATCCCGTCGAATCATGATGAATTCGATGTAAAACCGGCCTACATCAAACAGCTGATCGACGACGGCATAGATCGCCCCGATTTCGATTTACTTTTGAAAAATTCCGTGCGCGGTATGAACAGGAATGGCAAGCACCGGAACGACGACGATGCTGAATACGATTACACGGACATAGGTCCGGAGACCGATGTCGACGCCGGCGAGGATGTGCACGACAACAATTACCCGGCCCTCGCCACATCGTCGTCGCTCGATCCCACCCCCGAGAGCGAGAAACCATCGATGGAAATTGAGAAGTACAACGACAACGACGACGACGACGGCAAGAACGACAACGATTATACTAACCGCGAAAACGCGAACGTCTGCCCGGTGGACTCGGTAGTAAACGATGATGATCTAGACAATTGTGTCCGACCGAATGATAAAGACGTTCGTGGCGCGGACGACGAAACGCTGCGCGACCACGGTGACGACGACGACGACGTCGCGCGTATCGAGACCGCTGGCATGCATACCGTCGTGGACGATGACGAGTCGCCACCCTCGCCGCGAACTACTAGTAAGTGCAACTTGTCCGTTGTAAGGGCCCGGCTGTGCGCCGCTCTGGTATACGGTTACGCTTATCACGCGGTGAGCAATCTGTTCGTGTCGTTGGCGAACTACATCTCGAATTCGTTCGCCGCTCACATTTTCGGTCTACGTAGAAAGTGAGCCGTATCTTGGCGTTTTAATCGGCCTCCCAAGAGATGATTCGGAGGTTTCATCTTAGATTATACTGGGAAGTCGTAAGAGGATCGAAACGGACGAAATCGAGAAATGTACATGTCAGCGACATGTCAGCGGATTAATCGTCGCATAACGCGATGTAATCATCGTCGTATGCTCTGGGATAAGATTGCGCTAGTTATTATACATACCGCAGTACGAAGTATTTTATGTGTCTTTGAGAAACGTTGCAAAATATCTTCGATTTTTTTTGAATGCTGAAATCGCTATATTTTTAACATTAAACTATGTCCCGATTGCTGCAACACAACGAGAAACTTCGCATGCATAAAACTTATTATCTGAGAGATATAAATAAAAAAAAATGTAATCGTTCCGACCTTTCTGAGTCCTCTTCAATATATATTTTAATCGATAATTACATGACTTAAGTTAACTAAAAAATTACATTGAAAAAAATATTATACTCGTATATTATATCCTGAACTTTTTATTGATGTTTCTTATAAAAGTTACCGCTTGTTGCCAAAAGTTTCTTGATGTTTCTTAATGCTTCGTTACTAAAATTTGCAATGGGGACATAGCTCTAGAAACTCCTTGCCCAGCAAAGTGGACAGTATCGCTTGTTAACAATATCGCTTTTTTTGAGAGTACAAAAAAACAAATCTGTTGTAAGGTACGCAGCTATTAGTAGATGCGTGTTATATATAGTTTTCATATCACATTTCTTACATATGCAAATGTATCGCATAAGAGTAAAATTGAAATGCATTCGAATGCACAGTACATTCGATTTACATGACTAAGATCTCCATTCTCTGACTCTTAACAACAGTGTTAGTACCATTATATGTACTATCGTTGAACTGCAGTTTTTTTTTATCATATACAATACCTGCACAACGACAACATAACGATACTATCATTAAGAGTTACAGACTAGGAATCTAAAGAGTACATCCTGTAATGACCCGCTTTTCGTACTTACGATCCACAAATGGCCTCCTCATTCTACTCGCCTTGGTAACAGAAGTACAGCGAGCACTTGTAGCATCGATCATCCGTTACATCCGTGATCTTACATGGATAAACAAAGTTCGAGATTAGTCAGAGTTGCTATTTTCTTGTCGGTAGAATGTCACGTAGATAAATTATCGCGTTTCTCCCGTTTTTTTATGTCACGGAGATACGTTATCTTTATTAATGACCTATATGCCATCATGTCGTTGTGCCAAGCATAGCTGTAATCAACTGCAGTTTTAAAAATGTTGATGGCGCTAAAATCGTAATTTTTAAATCGTTATCGAGATCAGTTGGGTTTCGCTAAATGGAAAATGAGTTTCATTATTGTGACTCATGTACAGTCTAATGAACATGGAAGTTCGAAAGATAGCAAGTTGACGGAAGTAGCGGATATGCTAATGAATATACCGTACGAGAAAACCTGTTTCTATAATTGACTTTGAAATTGATTTTAACCCGCATCAGTAGCATTGCGAAAAATGGAAATTGATGTTCAATAAGGGTAATAAAAAGCACCGTTTACGCTCTTAATGCGCTTTCTCGATAAGCGGAAACGTTGAATATCAGGCAAATGAGTCTCGTTAACGTAAACTGGGCATTGTAAATCTTTATATTATTAGACAAGCAATTTTTTTAATGCTCATTATGTCTAGAAACGAAAGAAAAGTTTTTAAATCGTGATTATTTATGACAAAAAATGGATAATATTGTTTCAGAGCAATGTAGTAATCAACGTGATATATATCACTCTAATTATGAAAAATTAAAAGATAAATAAAGATTATTCATCCGCTAATTAAACTAATGAAAAATAACAAAGTAACTTTAGTATTAGAAATTATGTTATCTTAAATTTGAAAAAAAAAATAGTGGAAAAATTATTCATTTTACAAACGAAATGTTTAATTAGTTAGATATTAAAATAAGATATATGATGTATGAATTGATTGCTTATTGCTCAGCGTATTATCTTAGATACAAATTTGCAAACATAGAAAACAACGATTATTTCTCAAAAAATGTTTGCATTTGTTAAAGCAAAATTATTTCTATAACGTATGTTTTTGATATTCTATTTTTAATTCTAATTTTTTTTTCTTAATTTTGCTTTCCCTATTAAGGAGGTCTCCTACCTTAGAAGGTCAAAAAATTCGATTTTTTTTCCACAAATCGATACAACTCTTCGAAAATGTCCTTAAAATTTTAGAGCGAAATTCGAAATCCTTCGGTATAAATTGGCGCTTGTTTATACAGACTATATATACAGTGTATATATATACATCAAATTTTTAACGCATTTTTCTCGAAATCGTTTTTTGCATTTTTTTAAATTTTGTATACACGATTGAGAAAAAAGTATTTGTCTAATTGACTTCTTTTAGAGATCATTCTTTAGCTAATAGTCAACCATCCTATGTAAATCAAAAAAATTAAATAAAAATTAATATTAACAATTTTTTTTGCATAAACAAACGGCTACTATCTAATGAAAATCGTAATTTTGTTCTTCAAAGTCGCACAAAATTATAATTTATATAAATTTTTTTTAATTATTTAGGTTTACATAGAATGATATTCTCTATACAAATTAAAAATCTTTTTTAATTTTTTTATTCAGACAAGAATTACAGCCGCTGGATGTATACGAAATTGTTACGTCGTGGCGAAAAATATAAACTAAATGTTTATATTTTTATTAGTTAGAATAACTTTTTTTCACATAAAAATTTTTACGTACTCTACAATAATTATATTAAAACATGCAAAAAGTTTGAAATCAATAAACATTAATTTTCCATATGGAAAAAAAATTACGAAAGATCATCTCGTTTTCAGCCTCCTAATGTAGAAGATCCCCTTAAACACTCATCATTATCACATACAAAAACAGATGTTTTACGGACTATAGGAAAATTATTCTGCCGTTCTATTAATGAAGATATTTTTAAACATTGAGAAATGAGAACCGTGTTTACGCGCGATAAGAGTAATAAATTAATAACGTCTATTTTTTTTTAATATTCTGCTTTTTATTTTTACGTTTTTTTTTTTAAGTTTATTTTTTTTTATTAAACCCTCATCACTATCACGCGGAAACGAAATTTTTCTGGGCTAAACGAAAGTCATTATACCACTCTGTTAACGACTATATTTTTAAATATTGAGAAACGAGAAATGTGCTTATGTGCGATAAGGGTTGATAATTAATTTGCCACGTACATTTCAGGCAATCGTCAGATACAGAAGTACAACAGTTCGCCATTATCGTTATCGGCAGCAATTTCAGTTAATTAACAAGTACCATCATGTGTCTCTCGCATGCCCGCTTAGTCCCGTTATATACATTCGAATCGAGCGCGCAATGGCCGAGGGCTCGCGCCGCCGCGTCGCGATTGGTCGTCGTGGTGCGCTCGTGTCGCTGATTCGTCATATGGCGGCCAATTGGGCAGCGTGCCGCCAATTGTCGCCGGCCATGTGGAAGGGGCTTCCGGCAGTTCCTCTCGAGCTCGTACGGTTATGAGTGCGCGTCTGCGGTTCTCTCTTGTGTGAATTTTCCTGGTACGATTGTGCTGATTCGCGTGCCGATCCGCGATCGCCGGCTTTTGCACCAGATATATACCGTCGGCTCCGGGCACACCGTTACCGCCGGCGTTTCTCGGACGTGAGGATACACACGACGCGGACGAGGGATGAGAGATACGTTCTCCGAGGTACGTTGCGCGCTCGTGTTCCTTCGCAGTCGGTTATCGCTAAGGAATCCGGGCAGAACCCTGAATTGCGTATTTAAATTTGGAAGTGACGCCGTGGCGGGGGACGCCGCGCGGCGTTGTTCACAAGTCCTACCACGCTTAGAATAGGCCGCGGCGATGACAACAAACCACGTTGTTGCCGGCCGGTGATCGGCTGTCGAAAAACCGCCGTTGTTTTCCCCGACGACGATTCCGCACGACGCGATAGTCGCCGTTATCAGAAATAAGCGTAGAGATCGTTTTCGTTATCTACAGCAAAAACCGAACCCATTGACGGTATACCGGTTTCTAAACTACGTCGATGTTCCCCCACTCTTTGTTTCTTTTTCTTTTCCTTCACTTTCTCTCTTTCTGAATGGTATAGGTGAACGTTACGGTTCTGATATCTTTTCCCTCTTTCTCTCTCCCTCGTGGTGATCGTAGGAACTAATTGCGTCGATTTTAAATCAAGGCCTGCTCTGCCTGATCCTTCTCGAACATTCGATGAATTTAGTTCTTCGGTTTACGTCTCTCGTAAGCACATGCAAACGAGAAAGAAGAAGCGTTCTCAGGATGGAGGGACTAGAGTCCAAGAGGGAAAAAGAAAAAGGCAGTGTCTCGCGTCATGCGAAACGTGCCCGAAAATAACATGTTGTGAAATCGCATTGTGTATTTGTCGTCATCGTCGTCGTTGCACTGAGAAAACAAAGTCGCATTTCGCGATTTGTCAAATTGATTCACGCTTCGTTTTGCAGTCAAATTTTGATGCAGTTTCGATAAATTAATTAATCTTTTATGTTGGAGGTGAAGGAATTTACGCCTCTCGTCTTCTCGCGTCTTTCTGTCGGCTAATAGAAAACTTAGAAAATTCCGTGGAAATTATTAATAGGGAATTTTTATGATACCATATATATGCGAATACATGGTATTGCAAAAATTCCCTAATATCGAAATTATACTGATTTTAAGGATCAATTTGAACCTAATTCAATGACATACAAATTCTTCCATCGTAAACAAGGAAAATTTCGTAAATCGCTTCTCGAAAGTAAACACACGTTTGCTCAGCGAATTTTGTACG